AATACATCAGAACTAACTGGTGAATCAAAACCAGTTTCAATTACAGTTCGATGTAGTAGTGCTACATTTATGGAATCAACAAATATTGGATTTTATTCTACTATGGTTGAACAAGGTACAGGTGAAGCCGTTGTAATTGCAACGGGTGATAATACAGTACTAGGAAAAATGTCAAAGTTAACTCGAGGAAGTTCAGGTGATGAAGTAACTGGTTTACATCGTGAAGTGAATCGATTTGTTTTATTCGTTTGTGTTTGCACATTAGTTGGTATTACTATTTTGTGGATAACATGGGGAGCATGGTTAAATCAAGATCATCATGCCTTTCTATCATATGATGCTAATATTGTGAATTCTATTGGTATGATTGTCGGATTTTTACCAGTAGGTTTACCATCTGCTGTTACTCTTGGTAAATACAATATTTATTATATACAAGAGAATGTTATTTTTTTACTCTTTGTATTATTTAGTATTGACTATTGTTGCTAAGCAAATGTATCGACAACGTGTCTTAGTCAAAAGTCTACAAATTGTAGAAACGTTTAATTCAGTGTCTGTAATTGCAACTGATAAGACTGGAACATTAACACAAAATAAAATGACTATCACTCATATCTTATGGGATACTGAAGGTGTTTATAAAGTACCATCAAATGTACCAGAACCTGCCAAACCAGAAACAATTTTACAAACGATTCGCCGACTTTCATCAGGTGCTATTGAGACAGCCCGTCGTCTTTCTGTTGGTGCAGCAACAGCTGTACGAAAATTGTCATCAGGAAATATTAACCAACCACAACGCATGTCTTCTGCTTTCAATGATGATAATGAAGCAAATAATATACCAAATGAAGCAAGTGAAGTTCAAATTCAAGCATTTCGTGATCTGTTACTTGGTGCAGCACTTTGTAATAATGCTGAAAAACAAATGGTACAAGATGCACAAATTGGTCAAGATGTATCAAAAATGAAATCGGAATTATGTGTTGTTGGAGATGCAGCTGATACTGCTCTATATAATCTTTGTGTTGATAAATGCTATATCGATATTGACAAAGTACGAAAAGTTAATCCACGTCTTAAAGCTTTACCATTTAATTCATCAAATAAATTTATGATTACAGCTAATGAAATAGAAACATTAGATTCTTCAATACCTCAACAAGAACGAACTATTTTAGTTTTACTGAAAGGTGCACCTGATATTGTTATTCAACGATGTTCAACATACAAAATGAATAATGATGATATTGCGCCATTGGATAATGAAATGAAAAACAAATTATTTAAGCGACAAGAAGAACTAGGTAAAAGTGGTTATCGTGTTATTGCTATGTCTCAACTAAGATTCACTCGTCAAGAATATGATGACATGATGCAAAACTATAAAGATAAACAACGAGCAGCATCTTCTCAAGAAGGTGAAGATCTTAATGGATTTCCATCAAATAACTATTGTTTTGTTGGACTCTTCTCATTACTTGATCCACCTCGACCTGAAGTACCAGATGCTGTTCTTAAAGCACGTCGAGCTCAAATTCGTGTTGCCATGGTCACTGGTGATCATCCAACAACAGCAAAAGCCATTGCAAAACAAGTTAATATTCTCACAACTGAAATTGCTGATATGAATGGTGTTGATACATTCAAATTAGAAAAAGATCAAAATGGAAAATCGATGCTTCATCTTTATCGAAATGAAAAGCTAGTTGAAACACATGAACCAGGTGATATAAAAAGAACGGATTCACTTTCAAAAAATGCCAAAGATATGATGAGAAGAGCATCGATTGCATCTGGTGACTTAGTAGTAACTGAGCCACCATGGTATGAACGTATATGGATAGCAATTAGAAGTCAATTTATGGAACTAGAAACTGATGTTGACTCAACTAATAAAATGGAATATATTCCATATGCTATAGTTGTTGCTGGTGCTGAAATTAATTATATGGATGATTTTATGTGGGATTGGGTATTATCACATCAAGAACTTGTTTTTGCAAGAACATCACCAGAACAAAAACTAAAAATTGTATCAGAATTTCAACGACGTGGTGAAGTAGTTGCTGTAACAGGTGATGGTACAAATGATGCGCCAGCATTGAAATGTGCTCATCTTGGTGTTGCTATGCAATCAGGAACAGAAGTATCAAAAGAAGCAGGTGATATGATATTACTAGATAATAACTTTGCATCAATAATCCAAGCAATTGAAACTGGTCGATTATTAAGTGATAACTTGAAAAAAGTTGCTGTTTATCTTTTACCCGGAGGTATACTGATAATTTTAAGAATTTCACATCCTTTATTTGTGCATATTTCTTTTCAGGTTCTTGGTCACAAATTTGGCCCGTATTTTTTAATTTATGGTTTGGAATGCCTTTAGCTTTATCTGCGTTCTTGGCTACAATCTTCTGTATGGTTAATGGTATGATTTAATTTTTTGTGTCTAAAATCATTAAAATTATATTATCGTTTTTTAGACGTTTTTATGTCATTGGCTATGGTAACAGAAAAACCTGAACGCGATATTATGTCTCGAGCACCTTCTATTCGTTCAAAAGATCATCTATTAAATTTGAAATTGCTTTTCCATGCATACGTACTTGTTGGTAACTTTGAATGTTTTACTGGTTTCTTCTGCTTTTGTTATTATTGGATTGATAATCATGTTCCATTCTATTCATTTATGTTCACTTTTGAACATTTTGGTACAAATCCTGTTACTCCATACTCAGTAGATCAGTTGGCAAAAATGACATTAGTTGCTCAATCGGTATATTACTGTTCGGTTTGTTTATTTCAATTTTTTAACTACTTTGCCACACGTACTCGATATACATCAATTATTGAACATAATCCATTATGGGGTAAAGGTCAAAATTTGTATGTTTTTGCTGCTATGATTGTATCGGCTGGTATTCAATTGATTGTAACTCAAATAGGATGGTTCAATCGAACTTTTGCTACAGGTCCTGTACCTGTAAAATACGTTATGCCAACATTAGGATTTGGTATGGCATGGTTACTCATTGATGAATTAAGAAAATGGTGTATAAGAAGATGGCCACGTGGTTTCATCGCAAGAATGGCATGGTAAAGTGGGACACTGATTTTGCTATTTTGCTTATTCATTTTTAAAGAACTCATAGTATTGTGATATTTTCACGGCAATTTTTTTTTTTCGTTAGAAGCATTTGTATCTTTTTTCTTTCATTTGTATTTTTACTTTATTTTCATGAATATTTTTACGAATACATTATATGTTTGTAGAAGGAATAAGAAAATTTTCTTATATGCTACTGTAATATTCTGACAAGAAATATATATATATATATTATTTAAATATTTTCATTCTTTTATATTCGTATTTATGTGTCTACCACGTTTCGAACCAGACATTTGTATTTTTATCTACTGATTATTTTACTAGTCTCGTTCATTATATAAACTTTTAAGTGATAAATAAAATTTTTTTTGATTCTGAGTTCATGATATTTTCCATATATGTACATCTTTCTTTCTGTTTAGTCTTATGAAAGAATGATTTTAATATGTGATTGACCCAAATGCAATCAAGCAGAACGTATAATATTTATTTGCATATAGGTAAGTAAGCGTATGAGTCACATGTTTTTTCTGTTTATCATACAGTAATTTTTTGCAAAAGTTATAAATGAATATGCATAATAAATATTTCGAATAAAATTTTTTCATATCTCTATTGCAGCACTGAAGATAAACAAAGAATACTAACGTTTATATATTTAATATTTTATTATAGATAATAATTTCTCACAAATTACTAACATTTGTTTATATGAATTCAGTTTTCTTCCACGTTATTTTAGAATATTTGAAATCGATTATAATTACATGATTCAAAGTATACTCAGTTCAACACTCTATTCAATGATGTAATCAAAATTTACCTTTGTAATATTCTACTTCCGTCCATTTATCATTTATAATGGATAACAAAAGTTTTGAAAATGATTTCAAAACAAATACTATTACTCCTGATCAATCATCTATCCCCACCGATTCTACTATTCAGTTATGGCCAACCAATGGCAAATCTCAAGCTGGAGAAGATAATATTCATAGTATTCCAATTGAAGAACTTTACAATCGTTATCATACTAATCCACAAACTGGTCTATCTGAAGATTCTATATCCGATACTCGTGCGTACTATGGTTACAATAGACTTACGCCACCTGAACCACCTAATTATTTTTTGCTTTTAATTAAACAATTGTTTACTGGTTTTAATAGTATCTTGTGGTTTGCTGGTATTCTCGCTTTTCTTGCATACAAACCATTTGGAGAGTCTAAATCAGCAGTGTCAAATTTAGCATTGGGTATTGTCATTTTTATTGTTATTATATGTAATTCAATTCTTAATGTATATCAACAACTTAAATCAATTAAAATTGTAGCTGCATTTTCAAAATTAATACCAGCATTAGCCACTGTTCGACGAGATGGACGAGAACAACAAATTGTTACTGATGAAATTGTTCCAGGTGACATCATTCTTGTTCGAATGGGTGACAAACTACCTGCTGATTGTCGTTTCATTTCATGTGATGGTGTCAAGGTAATTATTTGTTATTTTATTAGATCTAAATAAACTTTTATTTGAATTGTATGTGTAGGTAAATACATCAGAACTAACTGGTGAATCAAAACCAGTTTCAATTACAGT